TCTAGAGTAACTATAATCTAGATTAAGTATAGTCTAGATTAAATATATTCGAGATTAAATATAATTAGATTAAATATTTAGATTAAATATCTAGAGTAACTATAATCTAGATTAAGTAGTCTAGATTAAATATAATCGAGATTAAATATAATTAAATTAAATATTTAGATTAAATATCTAGAGTAACTATAATCTAGATTAAATATCTAGATTAAATATGATCTAGAGTAACTATAATTTAGAGTATATATTTAGATTAAGTATCATCTAGATTAAATATCTAGAGTAATTATAATCTAGAGTAATATGTAGAGTATAATCTAGATTAACTATAATCTAGCATAAATACAGTAGATTAATAGTCCATCCTCCCGAGCCACCCTGTCCCGTCAGTGTATTTCATTTATACTTCTGAAAGTTGGCAGCCCCAGCTTTAAACAAACACGAGCAACATTGCAGTAAAGTTTGGTCCGAGATACTAAACCGTTCTTTTAAATCTCTTTTCAAAATAAAAGTCCAGATGTTCAGTGATCCCCAGGAGGAGAAAGACTTGGACACGGCGCCTGAAATGAATATAACCGTGATTTTATCACCCCGACAGAGAGACGTGGGAGGAATGTGCTCGCCGGGAGGTTCTGGAAGAAGCCGGGGTACATCTGGTGAACGTCCACTTTGCCTCGGTGGTGAACTCCATCAGGCTGGAGGAGCAGTACCACTACGTAACCATAATCATGCAGGGAGAACTGGACCGGAGGCGTCCGGGGGAGCCGGAAAACCTGGAGCCAGAGAAGAACGAAGGTACGCTGCAGGAAGAGAAGCTTTTTAAAAAAATCTTCTCGTCCGTCTGAGCAGATCTGGAGCGTGTCTTTGTTTGTTCTGCAGGCTGGACTTGGACACGCTGGGATGAGTTTCCTCCAGAGCAGCAGCTCTTCCTGCCGCTGGCCGGTCTGAGGCAGCAGGGCTTCCAACCGTTCAGGAACACAGAGACATGAATCTGCCTTTTCCTTTTAACCAAGAAGTAAATAAACATCCTTTTCACCTCAAACGTCACAACTTTGGTTGCAGAAACACACTTGAGTTTCTTTTTTCCGATTCCGAGCTTTGTAGATGTCAAGATATCCAAGAACATAAACACGTACTTTGATAGCACCAGTAACTATATTTATACGCGTGTTCACAAATGTGCATCTTAGGCGACTGCCTAAAAGCAGGCTCAGCAAACCCAGGATATCAGATCCGATTTAACTACCGTACTTGCTGCCGTACATGTTGCACCACCGTTTAAGTCGCATCAGTCCAAATATGTCTAACAAAGTGGAAAAAACAAATGCGTCGCTTCGCCGTATAAGTTGCGTCTATTATGTGTCACCTGATATCAGCTGATTTGACATTTGCTCCAGTAGTTCTGGAGCGAGACGAAGGTGGCTTGGTATGGCAAGCCAAGCGTCTCATCAATTGCCACTTTTACCGATTAATGCTTGCCATATTACTCGAGGGCCCTCTAGTGGCCGAAAATGGTAGTGTTCAATATTTTCCATGTCGGAACGAATGAAAGTCATTGGGTTAGAAATATGGGGAAAAAACGTATATTAGTTGCTTCGCTGTTTAAGTCGCAGGCATGCTAATTTATGCTAAAACTACAACTTGTACAGCAAAATTTATGGTAATCCTAATAATGAAAATCTCACTCGAGTTTTTTTGTTCATTACGTCAGTCCATGTTTTCTGATGTTGAGTAAGTGGGTGAAAGCTGTGAGCTCAAATGCAATGTCAACCGCCAAATATGGCCCTTGTTAACATCGTATCTGACCCCCAAGATGATATTTTAACAGTAAAATTTTTTTTTTGCTTCTCGTTTGAATGACCATATTTTAGTGCACACTTCTCATGGTAGTTGAACAAATTTGAAGCTTTGAGATTAATTTGAATTTATCACAAATCTTTGATTTTGATGCGTCTACAGTCGTCCCTCGCCATGTTGCGGTTCACCAATATAAATACGGCGCCACTACTTTGTGGATTTTCACCTACCGTGGGGGTTTCTGGATATCACCCCTGCGATAGGTGAGGGATCACTGCAATGAATGATCAAACTCTTGTTGAATCTAACCAAGAAAAGATGGCACGTATCTTAAAGTACTGACTGAAATAGGCTGTTGGTTTGACAAAACTTTTTAATTTTGGCTCCCTTTTGTAACTGCATTCGACATCCCTGCCTTCCCGTATTTGTTTAGGATCAACACTCTCAGATGAACAACCCAACAATCCTTATATGATCATAATAATATGAAAGCAGATACATTTCTGAACATTTTATCTGTAAGCGTTTGAATTAAGTATTTCACGATTTTACTAACTCATCATTTTGCCATAGTGCATTGGGGGCTGTGATGGGTAGAGGCAGGGCAGCCGACTCAGGACCTGAAAGTCCCAGGTTCAGTCCCCAATCGTTGCACATCTCGAGAGGTCTCGGAGCAGGACACCCCATCCCCGGGCGCCCTCAGTAGCTGCCCACTGCTCCACCTAGGGGTGGATGGGTTAAATGCAGAGTCAATTTCGCCATCGTGTGGGAACATACAATGATGACAACACAAAACTGTGTTGTAATGGGGGGCTGGTGTAGATAAACCCAGTTGTGCAGGCAGGTCTTATATACGGTGACTAACGAGACAAAACACCTGTGAGGACACACAGCTGAAACACATCAGGGGAAATGATAAACTAGGAAACCAGGGAGTGCAGGAATAGAGACACAACACCAGATGGAGGCATACACTAAGAAAACACAAACCCTGTAGAAAACAGAAATTAAGGATCAGAAGAACACAGGACATTAACACAACAAAAGATGGGGTTAGAAACCAAGATACAAACAACAATCCCTACATTTATGTCAACCAAGAAACGACGTTTTAGCAAATATTTTATCTCAAAAAAGCTTATTTCTACCCTGAATTTGGTTTAAAGTTTAAAATAAATACACATCATTTATAGCAAGAGCTGTGTGGGCAGAGTAGCTGTTTTTGTCACATCTAGGCGAGTCTGGTGACCCCCACAGCTAACAGCAGGGTCCAAAGGGTTGCCGCAGTGGTCACTACGGCCCCGCTAAAGGTCTTGTCGTGGGCGTAGGTGATGATGTGCAGAGCCCCGCTGTAGGCCTCCTCACAGGCTGGCTGGATCTGATCCTCAGGAAGCTGGAAGCCAAACGTCCCTTCATCTCTTAGCTCAAAAGTGTAGGTGAAAGGGATCCCCTGCAGTCGGGCCCAGTCTCTAGATGAACCGGAGTTGGGGTCTGAAGAGGTATATTGGTTTGTTAGAGACATTTAAACATAAGTCACTGAGGAACAAAGAAACAGTTATCCGTCGTCTACCCAGGGTTGTTGACACATACATAATACATCTGGAGAGGTTCCCACTGTGTAGTTTTTTCCGTGGACCTTCAAAATGGCTTCAGCTGCTCCCAGTCCCACCTTCATCTAAGGAACCACACAACTTGCATCATATAATCACCAAAATGTCAGAAAATCTTTCTTTTTTTCTTAGCAAGATAAACCTCATGTAGAAAATATGTTTTCAAGGGCCATTTTAGACCGGTTCTTGAAAAATACCAGCACAAAATCTGAACGCTTGGTTTGAAATGGGTCGTACATTCACTGGGGATACACTAAACCACTTGCTTAAGTTCCTCCCTTCTCATCAGATCTAATGTGAATTTTTATTTTAATCTCTAATGACACTATAAGCAATTGCAATCAAACACTAATATGCTTATTCACGTATTTGTACGTTTCCTAAACCCCTGCAACCAGAAAAGTAAGAAGTGGGTAAAGACAATGGATGGTTTACAGTATTCTGGTTGATTTGGCAGCTCTAATGCAGTTTTTCAAGTGTTTTTTTTTTTTTTTGAATTAATTACCACCTCAGAAAATATTGAACATATTAAGTAGTACAGGTACATTTTTTTTTTTTTTTTTTTTAGAATGTCATGTAAAATTTCAGTATTTTTGTTGCTCACTTCAGAAAGTGAAACTCATTATATAGATTTATTACACAAAGTTAAATATTTCAAGCCTTTACTTCTTGTAAATTTGATGATTATGGCTTACAGATAATAAAACACTAAATTCAGTGTCTCAGAAGATTTGAATATTGTGATAAAGTTCCATATTGGAAATGCGCAGACGAATCCTAGACATGGGCTACAAATGTCACATTCTTCAAGTCAAGCTACTCCAAATGACCAAACCCAATTAGCTAAGACATTCCTGTCCAAGATGACACATGGTTGGGTCCATGGATCTGTAGGTCCATGGACCAGTGGACCCAGCCATTGGTCCATAGGTCATAGATCATCCAGGCTAATGGCCCCAAGCCCTTTGTCGTTGACCCAGAGCCAGTTGCAGCACACCACCACAGAGGAAATGTGCCCAGCAGGAACCAGCTAGCTTTGGGAATACGTCCTGCAAAGGGATCCTCCCGTAACCGTTCCTAGCATGTTTATTTTGAAAAATTACCACTTTTCTTTGTTCCTTTTTCCTACATTTGACTTAGTCACAGCTTTTACTCTTGTAATAGTGAACCAACAATCTATTGTAGTTTGTAACTTATGACCCAAGCAAAAAAGGGTACCGTTTTTGTAACAAGGGTACTAGAACAAAAATGGTTAAATCATCTGGACCTCCTTCTTTAAGAGAAGAAACGTTTCGTCCCACATCCAGAGGACTTTGTCAGTCTGCGGCCTGCCAACCAGATCTGTCCCATAGGTAGCCCTCATTGCTGTGTTTCAAGCCAACCTCCTGTTGGAATCTCAAGGGTACTACCTTGTTGTACTACCCAAGCAAAAAAGGGTAGTAAATAAACTTTGCTGGGGAACTTTTGTTTCCCCACAATTCCATGGGGACGTTGTCTTGTACAACCCAGCCAGTGACCCCAAATAAAAGTTGGAAACCACTGGGCTAAGGAGCACAAATTGGGGATATTTGTCTTGGACTATCTTGAGTGAGGTGTCTGGTGGTTATGGTAACAAACCAAGGATCCACTTCAAACTCTTTCATTCATTGGATCAATCCAGGGAAAACCACTGAGGCAAGACAAACATGTAAAATTGGTTGAAAAGTTTGGTTTAAGCCGATATATTTACTATCTAAGGTCAGCTTCTGTCTAGTAAGGTATATCTAAGTTCAGAGAAATAGATGAACACGTGTAACCCGGTTTTGCATACAGTAATTCTCTGGAAGTGGGCTCCAGTGAGCCATTTATTACCTGTGTGAGCCTTGACTAGAACAGACAGGTTTGTTTGGTCTTATCAGTGTTTTACAGCCTAGTCCTGTTCTGCTCTGCCACATCATGACAGATGAGCGCTATGGTGACACGAGGTTTGTTTGCTCTGTATAAATTCATAATGACTTCAGTTATGCACCGATATCTGATCTGTGTACTCAGGACTCAGGTTCTGAAAGCAACATTAGGGTGGAAAATATGAAAAGAATTCTCTTGTCATGAAGGAAGACCTACTAAAGACTACCAATCAACCATGAACTTTTGAGAAAATGTGACGTCTTTAGAAGTACCAGCTCCTTGTAGTTGGTTGCGGTGTAGTTCGGGTGTCCGAAGGGAAGCAGGAGCAGCTGGCCATAGGAGTGGATGGTGAGGAAACACAGGAAGTCCTCCTTTCGGCTTTTTACAAAGTCGGTTAAAGCTTGCGCCTCGGGTTCAGATGTGGCGTGGGTTCCACAAAAGATTGCTGAGCTGCAGTTGAACGATACTCCCACCGCTGTAAACACAGTAAAAATAAATAAATAAAACACTGAATCATGAGCAGTATTGTTACCCTTCTTTCAATAATCTTGGGCCAAAAGAACTAAACCAAGAAGACGATGGCTTTAAGTAGCCTTTCACTGGCTTGCCATTGTTGGGGCAAGTTGGAGACTTTGAATGGTTTTAATCATGTTGGTTCAAACTCCCAACAAAATATGGCCCAAATTTTGCTGAGTTCACATACATATCCCAAAATAATACAGCTCTAGCACTAGAACTAAACTGAGGGGCCTGAACATCCCCGATGACTCTGTGACTACTTTGACCAAAATTTTGTCACACAGATTTGTTGCAAATTATTCAAAATTCTTGCAACACCAGAGCAAAGTCCTGCAACTTGCAAGGGGAAAATTGAGAACCCTTGCAAATGTGTAGAGACATTTTAGAAAATCTTGCAAACGCCATTCGCAATTTGTTATGGCCCAGTAGGTTTCAGCACTCACTGCCCCAGTTGGAATCAAAGTTGCGGTTGAGATCAGTGCCGTAACAGCTGGCCGAAGGTCCTGGTGACCTATTCTTCCTCCACAGTCGAGTCTGAAAGGACCGGAATGTTCAGTCAGTTTGTATAAATCCATCAAATACCCACTTGACTATAAAATGGGTCTTTTAATTGTTGCCGTCTCATGATCACATTGTCAGAGAAAGATTTAAATGAAACAACTTTTAACACAATTATCATTTCCCTAATAACCAATCCTGTCATCTGAACTTTGAGAGCAACTCAACAAAAATCCATCAAACACGACTGACTGTGTTGTCCTTCCAGGAGTACATGTAGCCGTCTACGTTGAGCACCGGTGTCACGTAAAAGTCCATGTTCTTCATCATCTCTTTCATCTTTGTGTCTGTTTTGTAAGTTTCCAGAATCTGATTCAAAAGAGCCAACATGATTACGGTTAGACGTTCCCCTTCCGAGACTGAAAAACCATTAACGGTCTGGTTGTAGTCATATTTTGAATGAGTGGTTTCTGGTTTCCTACCTGTTTGACAAAGTACTGACAGAACGCTGGAGCGATCCATTCCCTGGCATGAATACCACAGTCCATCCAGATAGCCTTCTTTTTGGCATCCGTATTGAGACCGATCTGGAAAGCCAGTTCAGAAGCACCTGAATATTGGCAAACACTGGTCTGTTTAAACTATATACATTTTTTTTACATGATATAAATTTGATTTCACCTTCAACAACGTAATGGTTCTCTTTTCATAAGTCTTTCCGTATTCCACTAGGGTCACAAGATCAGGGTGATCCTTCTCCGTCTGAGTCATCCAAGTACTGATCTGTAAGAGGAACCCAATTCAAGATGGTTGCCAATGATGTTAGCAAACACAAACAAATGCTGTGACTCTCACTTTTACAGTTATTGAGCAAAGATTTGGTGTAGTAGTAGCTGCAAATCCTCCCCACCACTTAACCTCCTAAGACCCGAACTCTTGCATGATACGCATCATTAATTCCTATAATGTCCACATATGTGGATGCCAGGTCCTAGGAGGTCCTGGTATCGAGTGCCAACAAGATTTGTACAAGATTAGTTTAAACTTTGCTGTTAAATGTTGCAAGTCAATTCGGTCTGTTAGAAAAATATCTAATGAACCACTTAATGGATTTTAATGAAACCCTCATAAAGTAATCCTTGAATAAACAACTGATTCACTGTGGAAGATAAAGCTAAAATGTGGTGCGGTAGTAGCTGAGAGTAGAGCTGTCATTTCTAACACAGGCCCGAAGTCTGGCCCGACCAGGCCCAAATTCAGGTCAGGCCAGGCCATGATAATATGCTGGATGGGCAGGCTGGGTCGGTGTTGGGCTTTTGATTGCATCAGTGGATCATTCGCGATCCAATTATCTGGCAACATGGCTTGCCATACAATCCAATGTACGGTGATATGGCTTCCTATACAATCTAATTATATGGCAACATGGTAAAATGGTAAACAGACTGCACTTATATAGCGCTTTTCTATCTGCTCAAGATGCTCAAAGCTCTTTACATCGCAATCTGAGTTCTCATTTACCCATTCATACAGCACTGTACTATATCTATACAAAGAATAATTGGTGCTTTATCACATTCATACACACATGGGAAGCATTTAGGGGTTTTCATTGTCTTGCCCAGGGACACTTCAGCACGCGACTGCTGATGGAATCGAACCCCCAACTCTTGTATTGGAGGACAACTGCTCTAACCACTCAGCCACAGCCGCCCCTTGCCATACGATCACTAGCCACACGCAGCCATTTCACCGCAATCTGACTGGCCTTGAAAAAGGTAAACTAAAGTTCAGTTAAGCTTCAGATGGGACTACCGGTAGGCTACTGCCAGGAAGTGATCTATTGCCCAAATGGACGTTCATTCAGCCGCTGCACTCAGCGGACGCGCGCGGCCGATGACCCAAACAGGTGAGATCCCCAAGCAGACATGTCAGAGCAGGGTCCGTGTCTGAATAATGCAGAATGCGCTCTTTGACAGCCGTGAAAGGACAAACACCCCCATCAGTTCCGATCTTCTGCCCCTTTTGATCAGCCGCGCGTCCGCCGACCGTTAATAACTATAAGCAGTCAAAGCTTAATTAAAAATGTCCGGGGGGGGGGGGGGGGTGTTGGACCTGTAATTACTGTTAATTCGTCAGGTTGGGTGGGGTTCGGAACTGATGGTTATGGACTGGGGCTGGGTCGGATCAGATTTTTTGGGCCAGAATGCAACTCTAGCTGAGAGTCATTCATAGAACATACTGTACTCCCTCCCAGCAACATATATTGTGTGAGATTGTATGACAATATTTTCAATATTTAAGTGATATGGCCTCAACGCCACCATTTCTCAACTTTTCTTTCACAATAAAATTGTACTTTTATGTATAAAAAAAAAAGGAATAGTCAGGTCTTCTCACCTCTTCCATTGGATGGTATTTGTAGTAATTATGCTCCACTCTGTTGTCAACAAAACACATATACGAAAAGGAAAGATGATGCAATTGCACTCTTGTTAGATGTAGACTAGTTCAGTAGAAAATCCCATATCAAACAATACAAGTTGGACCAAAGGGCTGTTCAATAAAAAAATACTGAGAACCATAAAACGTAATTTTCCACTAAATCAAGATTCACAGATAAGATTTAAAAAGTACAACAGAACATTTTTAAAGTGATAACTGCATTTAATACATCACATTAATCATATTAAGACATAAAGTGCATTTAGGTGCTTCAGTTTTTTTGTTTAAAAATATTTTTTACAATTAACAAAATGTTTGGGAGGGAAAAAAAACCTTTAGAGTTACGGAAGTCTATCAGTGCCAACTAAGTAAAAAAAACTATCATTTTATGTAAAATGTTTCTTCAAACAATATTTTTTAAATGTTACAGCGTTATATTTCACTTTCCCAAAAGACTTTTAACGTTCTAACAAAATTTCTTACATATATATTATAACATAAAAGCTTTATGTTTAAACAACATTTTATTGCCTTTAAAAATATTAAACTATGTGGTGATAGTGTAATTTATCGTTTTATCACTTGCTAGGTGTGTATATCTTGACAAAGTAAAAACATTTTGGTACAGCTAAAATAAAACATTTTAAAAACATGAGGAAAAAATAGGCTCTGAACAAAATATATGGTTTTACTTTTTACAACCGAGACGATAAAACTGCTGTAAAAGTTATTTTTTTTTTTACATAGAAACAGAAGTTCTAATTTATTCATATTACCATTTGAATGTTAAAATTCAGATTTCAAAACAAAAGCACTGATATTAACCACTTTACGTTAAAACATATTTAAGACTACATCTGTAAATCAATATATATTGCTAATATGTTCTTAAATCTTTAAAGCCTTACAAATAATTTTACAGAAATTAAATTTATGTATCTAGTATGCATATTTTTCAAATAAAAAAAACAAAACTCACCTTTTTACTGTTGCTGCGCTCACTGTCGAGAGCAGCACCATGAAGCAAAACCCCCCAAAGTTCAGCATGGTTGAGTTTATTAAAACGTTTTGTTTGCTACCCTCACCTCACTAACTTTGACGCCTTTATCTTCACTGATGAGCACAAACAGCATAAATGCCATGTCTGGTTAATAATTCATCTTTTATTATTTTACAGGACTTTACAGGTCAGGTGTGCTCGCATTCAGGAGTCAGTTCTTATAAATTTAATTTCATGGCCATAAATAGCTGTGCATGTGCAAGAGACGCGTTTGAAAAAAGTTTCATCTGTGACAATATAGTCATTTTGGAATATTATCAGGTATTCATAATGAGCATAAACGTGTGAAAATATAATAATTTTTGTCATGATTTCAAAGTCTTCCTTGTGAGATGGACACAAAGTAACCGATCACGACTTAACAAGAAGCAGGTGAACATTTTAAAACAAAAGGGAAATTCGGGTAAATCGAGACCCGGTCTGTCACGGTTGGGCCTGCGGGCCTCTGGAACCTCTGGAGCCGAGGGAGCCGAGCTGCAGCTGTCGGACCTGGGGTAAGATCTGACCTGTGCAATATCACTTGTGGAGTTCCTCAAGGCTCTGTACTTGGACCAAAGTTATTTATTTTATATGTGAATGACTTAGTGAATGTATCAGGACTCCTCAAATGTGTCCTTTTTGCAGATGACACCACATTTTTTTGTTTGGGTAAAGATGTAAAACGGATGTTGGAATTGATGAAGACAGAATTTGATAAAATACAAACTTGGTTTAAACTTAATAAATTATCATTAAATTTAGATAAAACTAAATACATGATATTTAGTAACAAAAAGAGAACTGTTGATGATCCATTTAAAAATCTATTGCAGTACTATACAAAGTCAGGGAATTATTAAATGATAAAGCTCTGTACATGTTGTATAACACAATCATTGTTCCACATTTAATCTATTGCATTGATGTTTGGGGGAAAGCGTGTAAAACTTTTACAAAACCTATTTTTATTTTACAGAAAAGAGCTGTAAGAATCATCACCAGAAAGCATTACAGTCACCCATCAAGCACATTATTTTATCAACTGAAGTTATTGAAGTTGTAGTGGACTAAGCCTGAGGTCAAATCCTTGACCTAAGGACCTTGTGGGACAGAAACTGTCATTTCATTGATTTGAATCCAGAAATACAGGTTCACCCATCCTGAGACTTTCTTTCTTGAAAATTCAAGTGAAAGAACACTCTCTTCTCTATTATCATTACTGTTTTACAAATGTTTGATAATCAAAGTGTTTTAGTTCAAACATTTTAGATGTTACAGTGAACTAATCAATTTTTATTAACTGTGAAAACAGTAACAATGATTATTTTCTAATTCTCATGCAAAGTTAGAATTCATGTTAAGGTCTGTTACAGAGTAATTATGCATTTTCTGATTTTCTGTCTTTGAATGAGCAGTGTAAGTTTGATACAAGGTCGGAGTCGAAGCAGACAAGTGTTGGAACAACTGTCTTGTTTTTAAATCCTCTCAGACGTAAACAGAGAAGCTGGCACCCGTTTTCCGCCAACTCGCCCAAACATTTCTCTCGTCTGTCTGAAAACCAGTTTCAATCTGTTCCATAACATTCTTGCTGTTTTCTGACTTCTAGTAACCTTTTTACGTCACAAAACACACCCCTGTCTGGTCGACATTGACCAATAAGAAAACTCCCAAATGAACCGGAAATGGAGCCCTTTAAAATGTCGGTACTTCCTAGTTCTCTCAGATTGAGTTCTGTGAAGTGGCTGTTGGGTCGCAGTTGCCGTTGGAGTCGGGCTGGAGAGTTTGCAGCTCCAGTCGTTTGGGAGAACAGAAGTCCAGCTATGATAAGGCTCTTCCGAGTTTGGATTATAACATCTTCCACCTCTGAGTGGAACTTCTGAAGAACCCCACTCATGTGAAGTCCACCCGTTGAGGTGAACTGTTGTTGACGAAGTCCCGTCACCACTCCGGATGTATCTCTGCCATCCTACGGAGACGCTGAAAGGTAGCGTTAACTGGAGCTCCTCTTCTTCTGATTCATCGTCAGAGAGGTAAATGAGTCTAGTCCACTACCGAGCGTACCGAGGAAAGCTGGGTCGGATGGAGGGTGTCGTCCTGTCAACACTTTTCACTCATACACACCACATTCTCCCTCATCCATCTTTCACTCCCACTAAACTTCATCTTTCCATCTTTAAAAATTCTTCTATCAAGTAGAAATCATTGACAGATATTTTTAGAAATGTCTGAAGCAAAGTTCTCAATCACCGCCGTGTGATTTGATGTCTGCTGTTCTGCTGAAAAGTGAAACAATCGCCGTATTGTTTCTCACTACCTGTAAAGCTGATTAATTATGTTGTTATTTTCATATTTTGCCAAATTAATGTAAATGTTTGATGTTAAACTTTGATTCTGTAAATAAATGACCACATTCATTTTGATGGGTCAAAGATAAATAACGTCTCACGTTACATTTTATTACATTCAATGCACGCATGTTATGCAGTCCAGAAAAATGAAAGAACTCGTTTTAACAGTATGAATATATCTCAGGATATGTCATACTACAAAGTTCCATGATTTAGTAGATTTCAGTATTTTATCAGTTATGTATAGGGCTCAAAATAACACATTACCATTAAATATCCAAAGAAATATTGTTAAAAGACAAAGTTGTTATAATCTTAAGGGGATAGAGATATTTGTCAAACCAACATTCAGAACTAGTCTGAAGGGAAGGTCTACCTCAATCCAAGGAGTTGGATTGTGGAATGTTCTAGAGAGTGATGTGAAAAATGCCAAGTCAATGTGAACATTTAAGAAAAAGATCAAAGCTGAATTATTAAAAAAGTATATATGAAGTAGCTTAGTGTGTTTTTTGTATTAGAATTAGAAAAATTAGAAAGTTATTCATTTTGTTCTGTTACTTGAAAATTATTATGATTGAAATAATTGTTTGAAAAAAGGGGCAGATATAATAAGATTTTTTCTTCTTTCTGCTGCCTTTCATTTTAAATCTTTTGTATCTTTTTTTTATTTTGTTATGGAATTGTTTTGTACTTTTTTAAAAATGAATAAACTTTATACCATACCATACCATAAAATTATAGATTCTGAGCGCCACACGTTTGTGAAGGAAGAGGACTCGGGACAGTAGAGCTTGAAGATGTTTCAAGATGGTGGATATTTCTTCTGAACTTATTTCTTACTTGTTCCAGGTTCAAGAGGAGGTGTGTGTTCCAGGAATCCGAAGGAAGCAGAGCAAGAAGGATAATAAGAACGATGGTGGAGAGTGGGCAGGCAAGTAAGTAAGAATGGTTTATCTTCGGCAGTAGTCCTGAGCACTCGTGGAACGTTTGTGATCGGAGGAGATGCACAGTTCTAGTGAGGACTGTGAGGAAGCAGCTGCACTGACGAGTTTGCAGTAACGTTAACGGTCAGGCAACAGCCGTAATTAGTAACTGTAAACAGGTCAATGCATGCAGGCTGAAGAACCGGCAGCTCTGAGTCTAAACACAATTTAATCAGAATTTGTTATCATTGTACCGGGATACAGTGAAATTATGTGTGTGCAGTTGTCCGAAAAATGGGCGGAGTGCACGTTGTTGCTTCTACAAGAGCGCGGCCTCTTATTCTTTATCAGAATACTTTTTTAGATAGAAAAAGGTGAAAGGCCATGAGGATGGATAGTGGTATTACAAAAAATATCTCTTCGAGACATCAAAAAAACTACCAGCAAGCACTTTTACAAACACGATTACATATGCATTGGACGTCAAGACGTTGAGATTTGTCCATGAAGCACTTCCAGATAGGCCATAGTCCTGATGATGATGTTGTTTACCCGGCAGTTCTGATAAGCCTGCACAGAAGTTCTTGGGTGGAAGAGGGGTTGCGATAGATGAAGCTTTTCCTTAGTTTACCTATGTCCCAGGAGAAATTTGATAGTCGGCTCGTATCCGAGACTAAACGGGGGAATAAGATTCAGATAAGCCACAAATGTTGATTTTCTTCAGACAGACGGTTTTTTTTTTCGTATCAGCCTTGAGTCCTGCTGGAACTTTCCCGATCCAAAATGGCCAAATTTATGGGCATTCTACTCTACTGATCCATATTATAAGCCTTCTTCAAGGTCGATCCCAACATGCTGGCAAGTCCCAGAAGCCGCAGGTGGCCTGCGATTCTCACAAATTCCTTTCGTCTTACTGTTTAGCTCATAAATCAGCTGATTTTGAGTACTCATAGCACAAACCAAACCTTCACACAGACTCGGAAGCTTTGCTATGGCTGAAACTGCTGCCGATGTCTTCTTCAAAAGTTGATGAAACAGAGCCCCACCCATGCTAAAGAGCAGAACCCCTGATATCATAAATCCAAATATATAAACGTCTTCAGCGTCCTCTTGAGACAGGACTGAGAGACGAATCTCTGATGTACCCCACAGCGTGCGTCTCAGCCAGACAAGAGGGCTCTCCAGGACTCCGTTGTTTTGTTGAAAAGATTTTGTCGATTACGTTGAAAGTCCAGCTCACCAGATCCATAATAGTATTTTTTCATTCAGGAGATGTGTATCAGGAGCTTCAAACACACAGAGAGCAAAAACAGGAGGGAGAGGAGAACAGGGGGAGGGAGAGCAGAGGCGTCCGTCTTGAGCGAGAGCCAGAGGAGATTGACTCCTGTTGGCTCGACCGAAAACATGGTATCAATGGCGGATGGACCGGACTTGCCGCAGCTAGGTGGTCAACCCGTTAAGTAAAAACAAAAAACATACGATGATTGGCCTTGTACATGAGAAGAAGTAAAAATACAATAAAAAGGACTTGATTAAAAATAAATAAATAAAAAAAATAACACCCTCCACTTTCGACACTGACCCAACTTATGCAAGCACCAAGTCTCGAGTGTCCAGAGGGCTACAACTACAAAAATGGGTATTTAGTGGATTTTTTAAATTTTTTACAAACTAAGTTTAAAATTAAGTATTTTAGTCCAAGTTAGCTTTAAGACTCGTTATTTTATTGTAGAAATA